TACAGGGCAGTTCTACTCTGCAAGGTTGCTATGAGTCTGAATTGACTTGATAGCATAAACAACAACGTATGAGAGGCAGTATATTACTACTACTGCTAATAATAATGAAGCTGGCATAATTTGGGCCTCTACAGTGAGGACAATAATAATAAACGTTTATTGAAGACTTACTTCATGCTAGGGACAGCACCAAGTGCTTTGCTTGCATTATCTTATAATAAGTCTTGACTAACCTACCCCACAAATAAGCAGAATCTCCCATTACTTGACACCTAAGGTCTCTAGCTTGCAAAACCAGCCTTTAACTCAGTCTGTACCTTTGTATACAGCAGCCATTCTCAAAGCTTTTGGTCTCAGAACCCCTTTATATTCTTAACAATTATTGAGGACCAGAAGAGAGCTTTTGTTTAGGGTTACATCTATTGATAGTTACTATATTAGAAAGTAAAACTAAGAAAAAATTTTTAAAAAGAAACCATTGCATGTTAACATAAATAACATACTTTATGAAAAATAAATCAATTTTCCAAAACAAAGAAAGTTTAGTGGGTAGAGTGGCATTGCTATAAATTTTTTTTGCAAACCTCTTTAATATTTGGCTTAATATACGGCAGCTGGATTCTCATATCTGCTCCTGCATTCAATCTGTTGCAATTTTTTGTTTTGGTTGAAGTACGTGATAAAAATTCAACCTCACACAGATACGTAATTTGACCAGTTGCTGTCAAGTTAATTCTGACTCATGGAGACCCCATGTGTGTCAGAGTAGAACTGTGCTCCACAGGGTTTTCAATTGCTGATTTTTTGAAAGCAGATCACCAGGACTTTCTTCCAAGGTGCCTCTGGGTGGACTCAAACCTCCAACCTTTTGGTTAGCAGCCAAGTTCATTAACTGCACCACCCAGGAACTCCTATAATTGGACAAAACCCAAAACAAACAAACTCATTGCCATTGAGTCAATTCCAACTTATAGCAACCCTGTAGGACAAAGTAGAACTGCCCCTTAGGGTTTCCAAGGATTGGCTGGTGGATTTGAACTGCCAAACTTTTGGTGAGCAGCCTTAGCTCGCCATAGCTCTTCACCACTGTGCCACCAGGGCTCCCTAATTGGACAAGAGAGGGTTATTTTAGTAGCCTTTTCATATAATTGTGGATATTCTTATTTGATACTATACCAAACTCCACAAATGGTAGTTTCTTGAAAGTTAGGTGTATGTGGAATCTGAAACCATATCAATGAACTTATCATAAGGTACACACTCATAAGAGAATGAAAGTAAATAAGAAAGATCTTGCATTTTTATGAAAATAGTTTGACCTCAAGGACTCCTGAAATGGTCTTAGGAATCCCCAGGGGTCCACAGAGCACACTTTTGAGAACCTCTGGAATAAGCTTAGGAGGGTAAGAAACAGCCCAACTGGCTCAAGACCACAAATAGACATGATCTTGGCTTATATACTACAACAATTGCAAATGAATAATTTCTTTTATAAGGATCAGCACAAAGCTGGTTCCTATGAGGCAGAAGTTAAAGATGTCCCAAATGTCTAACTTTTCCAAACAGATGTACTACTCCATCAACTTTTTTGCAACATCAAATTCATTGCAATGTGTCACAGAACTCATGAACAATACTTACAGTTAAGTGGTTTATTAGGGAAGTAACAGAGTATAACTTGGAATTGGGATCATCGTGGAAGTAGTAAGAACAACTCAGGGTGCAGTTCCTCTATCAGGACAGCTTCTTTCGCCTTCTGCCGCTGGGCCCTGCTGGGGGCCTTCTAGGGCAAGTGTTAGAACACTTAGCTCTGTGGGTTGGCAAGCCCCACCGCAGCCATCTTGCGCTGGTCCTGGTTCCTGTCATCTTGCACTGCTATCGCTGTTACTACTGTTGCACCCCCGTCTTTTGCCGTCTTCCGTGTTACAGTTCCTCTCTCTCTCTCTCCTCATGTCTCCCTTTTAGCCTAGAGAGATGGAAAAATTTACCAATCCCCTCATTAGGGCCACACACACCGTATTTGCATGGTCTCACCCCCACAAGGGTGCCATGCACCTTATTTACATTATTAGCAAGCTATCCAATCCCTTTGTTGGGCCACAAACGCCTTATTTCCATAGTCCCACCCAGTCATTTGGTGGGCGTTGCAAAGACTATGGCTAGAAGACCCATATTAAGTAATTCACTGCATAGCAAATTGTCTTTAAAGGCAGAAAGGAAAAGAGACTGAGGGCTAGTGTCCTACCCTCTTTTGCATGGACTCACTGGCTGACTTTGGACAAACACTGTAAATTTAATGGCCTCATAATCATCATCTCCTCCCTATCCCGCCAAGATGGTCCCTGGGGGGCACAAACATTTGCGCTCAGCTACTAACAGAAAGGTTGGCAGTTCAAACCCATCCAGAGGCTCTGCAAAAGAAATGCCTGGAAGCCTGCTTCCATAAACATTATAGCCAAGAAAACTCTATGGATCTCAGTTCTACTTTGTAACACGTGGGGTCGCCATGAGTCAGACTGACTTGATGGCAACAGGTTTTTTTTTTTTGGGGGGTGGTGTGGATTCTGCCAAGATACAGAGAGGATGGAGATAATGCCTCTAAAGCGATTGAGAGCTCCAGAAGCAACATAAAACTGTAATCCTATGGTTAAATGTGCTATTTCCCCTTGAATAAATTGAAATATGAGATGTATCAATATGTACAGATATGGTAGGGGCTTGATAAGGTATAACTAATCATACTCAAAGCCTTTAACCTTAGTCAATATTAATAGTGTTAAAATTATTACAAACTGCAAACTGCCAGTCTTAGATCTTGAAATAAAAATTGTTCCCCTGAACACTGTATTTAAGGAGACTTTCTATTTGCTTATGAAGGGGAGCTTAATACAGGTTCTGTTTTTTAAAAAAAAGAAAAGAAAGGAAAATCACTTTGGTCTAGCCAGTGAAATCACAGTCTTACTGGTTTATTTGTCAGTTATGAAACTGCATGCTTGATTTTGTTTTTATGAGCTAGACACTAACCTGCATAACCAATATCTTTTTTGCAACATTTAATCTTTTTTCTACTCTTTTATTAGTATGCTTCTATTTGCTTGGCTAAACAATCAGATCATTTTATTTCTACTTGAAGATATGCAAGAGGTCTTGTCTACCTATAAACATTCAACTTATTAACTTGCATTATATTTTCATGACAGTCAATTGTTACTAATAATGCACATTGACTTTAATACAACTTTTTCCTTGAGCCTGGGGAGGAAATATTTATGTATTTGTATATTTCATTTTATGAGTAGAAATAATTAAATGGATTCCTTCTGTTTTTTGTTTATGAAATAGTAATTTAAACACTTCTACTAGAAGTAAAATAGCTGTCATTGATTTCTTTGAATATAGTTCCAATTTTTATTTTATACCATTAAGAGAACCACTCAAAATTATTTGTTCAGTTTCTCCTCTCCATGATGTGTAAGGTTATATATGGGGGGAGGAACCATAGAGTTATAGAAATTTTACAAGCAAATAAACCTAAAGCATTAATTCCCCTCCCCCCTTTTTTTTTCTTAAATCAGTACCGTGAGCATCAGGTTTGAGCTGTAATATCAATGTGGTATACAAATTAATGAGTTAGGTCTTTTTTTGTGGTAGTGACATCTTTTATTCCATACTGAATACCCAAGGTTTTATATAGCATATTTTTAAATTCACTTGTTTGAAAATATTTGATGACATTTGGACACTTTTTGTAAAACATCCTTTCTGTATCTTCCTACTCAACTCCAAGTATCATAAACAAGGGCTGAAAATCACTGCCTTAGAAAAAATTTGATGTATCAAACAACAATAACAATTGTACCAAAAATAAGTAATCCAGAGACAGGGGCATAGGAAATGTAGGAACAGAACCATTAGGTTTTTTGTTTTGAAATTTTATTATACATTTCAGGTAGCTAGACTCTTACATTTGAGTTCTTATACCTAAAATATAAACAAAAAAAACCTCTATGGATATTCAAGAAAATACGAACACTGGTTTCCTCTGGGTAGCAAAGCTGTGGTTTAGGATGTATGGCACAGAGAGATTTTGTTCTTTTCATACTGAACCTTCCTGAATCTCTTCCCAAACTACTATCTATTGCTACCTAGCATATTATCCCAAAACATAGTGGCTTAAAATTATAAGCATTAATTATCTATTAGTTTCTGAGGGGCAGGAATTTGAGCATGGCTCAACTGAGTGCCTCTGGCTCAAGGTCTCCCACAAGGTTGCAGTCAAGCTGTCAGCCAGCGCAGTGCTATCATCTGAAGACTACTTGAGGATGGGGATCTGCTTCCAAGCTCACTTATGTGGCTGTTGCAGACCTGTGTCCTCACTGGCTGCCGACTAGAGACATCAGCCCTTCACCACATGGGCTTCTCCATAGAGCTGCTCACAACATGGCAGCTGGCTTCCCTCAGAGCAAGGAAGCCAAATGAGAAAGACCAAGAGGGGGCTGCCAAAATGGAAACCAGAGTCTTTTTATAACTTAATCTCAGAAGTGACATCCCACCACTTCTGCTATATCCTGTTCATTAGAAGTGAGTCACTAAATCCAGCTCACACTCAAGGGTAGGGGATTACACAAGGACATGAACACTAGGAGGCTGGGATCATTGGGGGCCATCTTAGAGGCTGCCCACCACACCCATCAAACATAATGGATATTAATTTGGTAAGTGGTAAGAAGCACTGGACAGCACATGAGAAAAGAAATTTTAAAGATATTTATCTGATTTCTTTGTCACTTTTACCTTCTAAAGTTTCTGTAAAGCTTTGTTAGAAGTATTTTCACTGTTCAAGGCCAATTCTGATTAATCTTATAGTCAGTAGCTGCATCTCAGTAAGAAAGCTGTATGTGCTTGAGGGAGGAAAATCCCAATAGAGGGAAGAAGTCAGTTTAACTATACTTATTTGCTGTCAAATGCATAATGATCCTGTGTATCCATCTGTTTAAAAGGGAGAACCAGGTTTCATTGGTCCTCAAGGAGAACCAGGCTTACCAGGGTTACCAGGAACAAAAGTAAGTGGAGTCTTTTCCCCTTTCTTTCTGAATTTTATTCATATAGGTTTTCAGTCATTATGTTTAAAGAAATATGAGACAACCTAATGATTTAGATGACCAGATATTTTTGCCTAATAGAGGACTAAGGTGCACTATTCCTCCCATTACTAACACTTGCAAGTGGGAATGCCATGTCAAGTAGGGTCATGGAGAAGTTAATTCCAGAAAGCCTTAGTCAAGATGTCTGAATGGTGGGATATATTGGTTGTTCCAGTTGTTCCCCAAGTTGCCCTTAAACTATGATGCTCTTAGCCTCCTGTCCACATGGAAAAGTGGGGGAATTCTGAAGAGGAGAGATAGAACTCATTAACTCCAGCTCCTCATCACTGATTTTAGGATATAATTGTAAATCAAACATTATTACTGTTCCCCCATATATTAGTCATCTAGTGCTGCTCTGACAGAAATACCACAAGTAGATGGCTTTAACAAAGAGAAATTTATTCTCTCATAGTCCAGTAGGCTACAAGTCCAAATTCAGGGCATCAGCTCTAGGGGAATGCTTTCTCTGTTGGCTCTGGAGGAAGGTCCTTGTGATACTTCAGTCTTCCCTTGGTCTGGGAGCATCTCAGCACAGGAACCTCAGGTCCAAAGGACGCGCTCTGCTCCCAGCACTGCTTTCTTGGTAGTGTGAGGTTCCCACGTGTCTCTGCTCGCTTCTGTCTTTTGTATCTCAAAAGAGATAGGCTTAAGACACTATCCAATCTTGTATACCTCATCAGCGTAGCTGCCACTAACCCATCTTATTAGACCATAGTGATTGAATCTTACAACACATAAGGAAATCACATCAGATTACAAAATTTTACACAATTATATAATACTGGGAATCACGACCCAGCCAAGTTGACAGATATTTTTGGGGGACACAATTCAATCTATGACACCCCATCACTCCCTAGATTTCTAAGGCAAATGCTGATGTCATATAGATTCCTAAGTGCTTCATTCCAAAAGGATCCACCCTGAATAATGTCTGCAGAAAGATTCTGTAATGAAAACCATCTCAGGATCCTCTATTTGGCAACTCTAGACAAGGCCCTAAAAGCAAAATCTCTATGCCACCACGTTAAAAAGTTATGTTGCTGCAGATGCAGTCAGATCCATATTCTCTTTTTATCTACCCCGTAAGACATAAAAAGGTACAGCTCGGATGATGGAGCTTTACTTATGACAGACTCATGAATCAAAGAAGGGGCAAAATTAGATCAAGCCACATTCTTTCATTTTTAAACCATAGCAGTCTTTGCCTCAATGTGTACTGTGTTCACCAGAAATAAGGCAGGGATGCTTTCCAAGAGCCAGAGAAATATGTGCATGGCCCGTTCTAACAGAAGGGTCCTCATTTCCGCTGGTTGAGTGAAAGTAACTCTAATCTTAGTAAATGGAAACTATGTGTGGTCTAAGGGGGGACTGAAACTTGCTCAAATTATGCAAAATTTCTATTTTCTTAATCAATTTCTTTTTCACATAATGAGCTGCCAGATTTATTAACAAAAAATGAGGAATGCTTGGTTTAGCCTGAAGAGATTCACACAAGGAATGTGCTTTCTGGAATAAAAGCAGAGAGAGAAGGAGAAAATGATGAGCCAAAACCAAACCAAACCCATTGCTGTTGATTCCAACTCATTAGTGACCCTATAGGACAGAGTAGAACTGCCCCATAGGGTTTCCAAGGAGCAGCTGGTGGATTTGAACTGCCAACCTTTTGGTTAGCAGCCAAGCTCTTAACCACTACCCCACAAGGGCTCCAAATGATGAACATTCCTTTTGAATATAAGAACTGTTGTGTGTAGTCAGGTATGCAGCCTTAGAGCCAGGTAAGAGAAAGAAGGCAGCCTCATGATGAACACAATGTACAGAAAGGGGCCTTGGTCAGTGTCAGCGAGAACCAGGTGTGAACAAGACTTGTAAGTGTTGGTGCATCTTGTTTGCTAGACAAGCGAAAATAGAAGAAGCACAGAAGTAGAGAGAAGAGTCCATCCGTAAATATATTTTCTTCATTTGACTGATTTTAAACTATTACAGCAGTTTCAAAAAATCTATAACATCAACATTGATTACTGTTTATGAAGACCGCTCCCCCCATGATTTTACAGATCAGATACTTTTAAAACAAATACTACTCTGAATCTCCAATTAAAGGTAAAGAATGTACTGTGCCTGTTTGTTTCCTCAAGAAGGGATGTGGACAGGAAATTTGTTTTATTAACAGTATTTTTAAGTTAATTTTCAGCTGAATTGCCTGTCCTACATGAATTCGGTGTCATAATGGGAAAGTCATGATTTAAGAAACTCTTTGAGCCAAATACCACTCTTTTTCAGTTGTGTAGGCAGCCTGAGTTTGTACCACTAAATTCGAATTACAGAAATAAACTGAGCCCGCATTGTTTACTCCAGACACAGTGAGGAGAGATCATAGTGAAGAAAAGTCTGTTTTCATGCATTGCTCTCTCTTCAGTGTCTAATAGTACCTGAGGAGAGACCTAGAACAGTCTGAAGAAATGAGGTTTTTGTCGAAATGTTTTAGAATACTTGGAGCAATGAGTTTATTCATTAATTCAGAAAATATATATATGTTTTGGCTATGTATATATATTTATATAAACATATATAAATACATATATATGTGTGTGTGTGTATATATATGTTATCTCCAAACATTTTTCTACTGTTTCAGAGTGGGGAGTTAATGCAACAAAAAGAGTCTCTACTCCCCTGAAGTTTTACTCCAGTATATACTCCAGTATGTGTGAGGGACTGGTGAGGAGGAGAAAAAAGTAACTAAATAAGATAATTTCAGAGAGTGAGAACAAACTGGTTAGAGGCCTTGTGATCAAAAGTGATTCTATGTAAAGATATACAGACTCCACCCCAGCAGTATACTACAGATAAATAATTTTTAAAGGTTTTTGTTTTTCCCTAAAATAAGTTCATAGCTGCTGTTTAGAATTCTGCTGCAATTCTTAAACTAAAATATGAAAAGAAACATCAAGTACCATACTGTCTCTTAAATAGAAATTTCCCACACCAACAGCCTCTAATCTCTGGAAAATTCCCTCTGGTCCCTCCATTCAGTCTCCTATATCTGGTCATTCCCTTGCCTTTCTTCCAAGCTCTCCATTTTCATGCCCTCCTCAGTTCATGCCTAGAAACCTGCTGAATCTCCTGTCTTCTTCCCTCTTGTCTTTCTTAACTCTTGCCCTCATCTACCCCACCTCCCCTACAAAGCCACCAAGGCTTGCCAGAGTGGGCACGATAGAGGTAAGGATAAAGTCCTGCATCACTCACCATGGATCAAATTTTACTTCCTCCTCCTTCCCAAAATGAATCCATCCTTCAGTGAGGAGAGTGCCTCTCTCTTCCATAAACATGCCCTCATCAGCCTAAATTCCAAACCTGTTTGATAGTTCTATCGATCATGCAAGAAGCCAAACACTCTCTACTCTGCGTTTAGGTGTAAAATGTAAAATGTCGCCATCTTCCTGGAGGCTATTTGGCAGGCTTTTAAAATGCTGATACTTTTTGACCGGCAGTTCTCCAGCTAGGAATTCATCTTAAGGAAATGATCAGAGATTTGCATATAAAAACATTTATGCAAAATTAAAGATGGGATAAATCAGTTTTAAGTTATAGCTCTCCCACTTTAAAAGCTTGTGACTTTGGACAAATTAGTTAACCTTTCTAAGCCTCAGTTTCCTCATTTGTAGAATATGGATAATGACACCTTCCTCATTTGTCCTGAGGATTAAATAGAATAATGCTTGTAAAGTTTTTGTGCAATTCCTGTTCTCATCAACAGTACAGTTGTAAACAGCAGTAATTATAAAATAAACCCTACCCATCATTCAGGGGAGTCCCTGGGTGGTGCAAATGGTTAATGCGCTTGGCTGTTAACCAAAAGGTTGGAGGTTTAAGTCTACCCAGAGGTGCCTCAAAAGAAAGGCATGTTGGTCTACTTTGAAAAATCAGTCATTGAGAACCCTACAGAGCACAGTTCCACTCTGACACATGGGTCGCCATGAGTCAGAATCGATGACAACAACTGCTTTTTTATCCTTCGGGACGTGACTTAGGTCTTACCTCTGTGGATTGAATCATATAGCCTTTTATTACTCCTTAATTCCTAACGATTTTGTTCATGTGGCTCTTGTCTAACTGGATCACTAGCTCCTTGAGTGCAGCCCCATGTAACAGAGCTATGAATATCACAAAAAGATGTAACAGCTATGTGCCTTTCCCCACTCTAAGCACTTTATGTTCATAAATTTTGACATCAGTACAATCATTGTCTCCATTTTACAGAGGAAACTGAGGCTTACAGAATTTAACTAACTTACCCCAAACACAGAACTGGTGAATAGCAGAGCCAGGATTAAAATCCAGGAAGTCAGATTACAAAACCACTTTGCCAAACGTCTTCCCAGTAGTGCTTAAAAAGTGGCTGAGGAATGAAAATGTAGATACATTCCTGTCTTGATGATGCCCCTTATCAATCTCTTTTAAAGGCCTTTCTATTTACCAATGTAAGTATCTGACAGGCATTTACCAAACATTTCCTTATCTATAAAATGGGGGATGAGAATACTAACTTTGCGTAGGTATTTTGATTATTAAATGAGATAATGCATGTTAAGCTATTAATACAGTCCTGGACACATGGTAAATAAATGGTAACTCTCTGCTTTATTGATTGTATTTAACTCATCAATTAATCTACAGGGACTAGCCTGGGGGATTTCCATTTACATATTGTACAATTTGTGACAGGGCGAACGTGGGGAGGCAGGGCCTCCTGGAAGAGGGGAGCGAGGGGATCCTGGAGCCCCTGGACCAAAGGTTAGTCATTCTTACATTGGAAAATAACATTCTTTGGTCTGGAAAGGCGTGCCGCTTGCTTTAGAACATGAAACTAAAATAAAATTCCTGAACAGGTACTAACCCATCAAAATTACAAATGATTTATTGAAACGTATGTCACTTGGTTCTTTTCAAAAATGATTTTACAGTTCAACGTTTCCAGTTTAGTCAGTGTTCTTTGGTGAACACATTTAGTAAGACATCCAAATGTTAAAGGGGAGCTCTTGTCATATTAACACTTTATCACTTGTGTGTTTTAAAACTTACTGAGAAAACCCTGTTGATATGCACTGTGTTAGTTTCTGTGGCAACTTGATGATGTGCAACACCTTGAAAATATTAGAGCTAAGGATTTATTTGACTGTTCAACCTTTATTCAACTAAGCTTCCTGCAAACTAATGTGGTAACACTTTATTTTAATAACCCATGTTAGAGACGAAGGAAACCATTTACTCTTTGATGAGAAGGAAATTTATGCAGACAACCATTATTGAGACTAATGAGAATAATGCGCAAAACTTTTCCCCATCCACTCATGGGAGGGCAGTCTTCAGAATTAAAATGAAATGAAGGCTGATGGGGAAACTAGAGAGTGGACTAATTACACATGGTTGATAGTTACATTTAGTGTTGTAATAACCGACAGACAGAGCCATGTACTGAGGCAATTGAAATAAAGTGTTTCCATTTTTCTTCATTATTCTGAGTTGCTGCTAATTTCTTTTTTCTGTTCTTATCTCCTCTGTCATTTCTCTTTTGGATCTTCATATTCTCCTGTAATAGGGCAAGCAAGGTGAATCAGGAAGTAGAGGCCCAAAGGGGTCCAAGGTCAGTAACAAGGCGGAATACCCATTTTAACGTACCATGCGGCCATCAAGAGCTGTGCTTTTTGCCTTTTTCATGTTTTAGATTAAACTGTTCCACACACTGGCATTGTAAAAATTTCTTCCCTATGATGATATCTCAAAAACAATTGGTTTGTTCCATCCTGTTTGTTTTTGTGTGTTCTTGTACTTTCTATTCTTTAAAAGAACTTGAATTTCCTGTTTCAGAAAAATTGCTTCTTCTTTGGAAAACATTAAGTACTTTATTTAATTTAAATTATGTACTGTATAACCTTATTTTTTATTCCCAGGCTATCTTTGTGATAAATCTTCAAATTATACTTTGCTTTTAAGTTATTTGACTCCCTCTTTGCATTAAAATTTTACCAGCAGTGGAAATTCTTCCCTTTACCATGCTCTTTATAATATCTGCAATAACATATATACTGTTAGCAGAATTATGTTATTTAAAACGAAGTTAGCAAATAACATGGAAAAATGAATGCAAAAATGAGGAAAACAGAGACTGCTTATTAATTCTCCATTCCATAGTAAATTTAATTATTATGGTCAATGTTATTAGTATAATGTGGATAGAAAAAAAGTATAATATAATCCTTTTTCCTGTTTATCTTCACTGTTCCCTACCCAGTTTATAGAAATATATAGTATATGTATAAAGACCTATAGAAATTCTTTGAATTCCATATAGAAAACATACTCTATAAATTTAAAGCAATTGTAAAGAAACTTCAGATCTTCACAAGTTGAAACCTCTTCTCTAAAGTTTTGAATTAGACTTCTGAGAATTTTGAGTGTTCCTGGAGCCGGGCAGGTACAATTTGGGGGTTGGACTATTGCTGGTGTTTCTCAGCCAGGGTAATGGCACCATAAATGGAACTTCAGACATTTTCATATTGCACTGAGAAAAAGAGAGCTGGGGTTTTCTCTGCCCCTGACTTTCAGCCCCACCAACCTGTTCTAGCTACCTGCTATCTATCTACTCCAGCACCTTCTGAAAGGTATAATACCTATACCTATAACCTTTTCTTAGGAGTCCCTGGGTAGTACAAATGGTTAACACGCTCAGCTGCTAACTGAAAATTTGGAGGCTCAGATCCACCCAGAGGTGTCTTGGCAATCTACGTCTATGGAGCACAGTTTCACTCTGACACACATGGGGTCGCCATGAGTCAGAATTAACTCAACAGCAACTGTTTTTCTGTTTGTTTGTTTGTTTGAACTTTTCCTCAATCACCGTCATTAGAGGGAAACCTAGCCAGTGACCTTTCCCTTCTAATTCTCCACAGAAGGAGCTGTTCATTCCTTTCCTGATTATCTGTACTTTTCTCCTCAGAGAATAAACAACCCAGTTGCCTGGCTCTTTTTTCTCTTTGCCCCAAATCTCTTCATAGAAAGCCAAGAACATGGCTTAATGTGGAAGACAAAAGCTTACTTTGGGCGCCATAGGAACCATTTTCTTTGATTTTGAAGATCCTACCTAGTGAGGGAGTTACCGTGTATATTGTTGTTCTAAGATGTTCTGTTATCTGAAATGGGGAACTTTAATTCCCTGCAAGCTACATCTTAAAGAAGCATTTGCCATTTTGGTGGTGGTGGTGGTGGTAGTTTTCCACGTCAGAAGTTTATATTAAAGGTGCTGCTATAGGGTATACATATATCCTTAGATTTGAGAGATTTCTAGACTGTTGACCTCACTATTAACTGTGTTTTTCTCTTTTCTCTGGGGAAAGGGTGATCGTGGAGACAAAGGGGACTCTGGAGCCCTGGGACCAAGGGTGAGTGTACCTTTCATCTAAGCTTTTGCCCCAGATTTAAAGAATGAGTCTGTGTTGCTTTTCACAAGGCACCTGGACTAAAAAATGCCCAATAATAGCAGTAGAGGCCAACTATTGTAATTATTTCTGCAACCTCCCCCTTTTCTCCTTCCTTTTTTATTTTTGTCGCTGGGAGCAATGAGTGTGGGGATTCTAACACATGAAGTAAGTTTCCTGAGAATTTCTAAAGATCTCACCCTGTCTACTTTCCCTCTGCTACAGTCATCCAACTAAAGTAGTTTTCATTTTGCAAGTAATCCAATTATAAAAGAAAGAAATAACCCATATATTCAAAGTCTTTTTAAAAAACAAGCAGGGAATTAGGACATGACTAATGGAAATTAAGTGGCAGAGCTAATGACTAGGGTAAAAGTCTTAAGAGAAATATATATTCTCCTTTTTGTTCCCTGTTTGGTTTAGTTTTAATGAGATTCTATTCCAAGCATTTCCTACAGAACAATGTTCTATCCTCTTAAAGGAGTTGTTTACTTGCCATCGAGTCAATTCTGACTCATGGGGACCACATGTGTCCGGAGTATAACTGCCCCATAGGGTTTTCAAGGCTGTGACCCTTCAGAAGGAGATCTCCAGGCCTGTCTTCTGAGGCACCTCTTGGTGGGTTCAAGTTGCCAACCTTTTGGCTAGTGGTCCAGTGCCTAACCATTTATGCCACCCAGGGACTCCATCCTCTTAAAAGAACGAGGAAGGAACTTGTTAGGTGTAGATGAGTAGAAAGAGATTAGGAGTTGCTTTAGTAAATACGAGTAACACCAGTAAGATTTTGCAAGTCAGGTTAGTCTATATTTTATAATTTTCAGAAAACAGTTGTGGAGATTAAATCATATCTTTCTTAACCAGGTTTCATATCTTTGACCTACTATAGATAGACAGTTAGAAGTGATTTGCCTCCTTTGAAATCAACAAAATTTGAACGTAGTTATTCTAAAATGCAGTTGGGCCTTAGTAGGGAAGCAGTGATCAGAGAGAGCTAAAAGTTGCTATTTCTGTTTTTTGTCACAGTCCCCTCTATATACCATCCTGATTCCCATCATTTTTCTTTGGTTGGTTTTTCTCGTAGGGTCCACCTGGTCCAAAAGGGGATCAAGGAGCCACCGAGATCATAGACTACAATGGCAATCTCCATGAAGCCTTGCAGGCAAGTGACTGCTCCCCTCCCTGACACAGACAGAGAGTAACCTTGATGAGCATCTGTGTAATGGGTGTAGATATTAGCTTCCACTCCTTCTGATCTCTGAGGACTCCACTTTGCAAATCACACCTTCTCCCTGTTCTTCCGATTCCAGCCCTTTCTCCCTGCCCTAGTTTATACCTTTATTTCATAACATTTTCAATCTCTCCTTTTCAACACCTTCTTTCCCTTCTACCTTAACTATGCTTAATTTAAGTATTTTCAGGCTTCAGCTTTGTGCTAGTTTGACTAAGCTTTGCCTCCTTGCTTGGAGAGGGGGCTTAGCAAAGCAAGTATGCATCCTGTGGAGCTGGAGCTGGAGCAGGAATCAACTCTCAGCTCTCCTGCTTACTAAATGTGTGCCCTGGCCAAATTATTTAACTTCTTGGTGCCTGAGTTTTCTCATCTGTAAAATTATGTTATAATAGTAGCAACCTAGGGTTGTTGTGAGTAGTAAATGGCTAAAAATATGTTATGCACCTAGAACAGCACTTGGCACATAGCAAGCCCTATGTAAGTGTTTTCTACTACTGCTACAATTCCATTTTTTTTTATTCCTTCCATTAATAACAAAATCCATTGAGTATGTGGCTTGTCTTCACTACCTTTGCTTCCCATTCATCCTTTCCATGCTTAGACCTGGTATTCTACCTTCTATCATCATTCTGTTGAAACTGTTCTTACAAATGTCCACAGTAACCTCAAAGTCAAACCCATTGTACCCAGAACCCTTGACTTTCTGGGACATTTATACTAAACCACCTTCCTTTTGAAAATCTTTTTTTTTTTTTTTAACTTTAATTTCTCCAATTTTCTTCTATGATAGATCCACTCTATTTTGATATTTACAGTTTCTTGGGCTATTCCCTAATTTTTGGTATCTTCAAGTCTCTACTATTTTCTTAGTATAATCACTTCCTTTGTGCTTCTTCACCATATGGCCTCCGAAATCTTTCATCTCTAGCTCTTATTTGCAGGTACCTCCAGCCTCCAGACTATTTCCACTATGGATGCACCATTACTCCATCAACTTCTACCACTACACACAATTATACTAATTACTTTTCTTACCTATCCAACTGATTGCTTTTCTTAACTAACCATCTTCTGTTTGTGATACCATGAATATTTGAATTTCTTGGGATAGAAACGTCAGAGTCATTTAATACTATTCTTGTCCTTCATCCAATACATCTCACAAGAATGCTATCTCCTCTTTCAGAGTATCTCTTGAGGTGCCCCATTCTCTGCATTCCCATCACTAGGCCCACATCCTATTTCATGCCTAATGCTGCAACAACCCCTTGACCAATTCGTCTGCCTCTAGTGCCTCTTTACCCTTCTAGTCCATACTGTATATCACTTCAGAGCTCCTAAACTATCATTATTTTATGGCTCTAATCTGCTTAGAAACCTCAACAACCCCCTGTTGCCTGCTATATCAAGCCAAAACTTCTCCATCTGACCTTTAAGGCTCTATAATCCTGTCTTTCCTGTGCAGAATTTTTATTTCTCCATGTCACAGTTTCCACTGGAGTAGTCATTTTTATCATAGCTCTGCAAATCCCTCTCCCCTTTTTCTCTGAGTTCATTCTGTTCTTCCTTTCTTTCACCACCTAAATCCTATCCAGCAATCCATTGCCGCCATCCAGATAAGTTCTTCCTCTTAATCCTTTTAACCATTAGACATCAGGGCACAATAGTTTAACACTTAAACCAGAACCAAACCAAACTCGTTGCCCTCGAGTCAGTTCTGACTCATAGCAACCTTGTACTACAGAGTAGAACTGCCCCAAAGAGTTTCCAAGGAGTGCCTGGTAGATTCGAACTGTTGACCTTTTTGTTAGCAGCCATAGCACTTAACTACTACGCCACCCAGGGTTTCCAGTTTAACACTTAGTTGTTCTCAAATTGCATAATTGATTTTAGTCTTGCCTCTTACCAAATTGTAAATTTCTTGGTGAAAAGAAACATGTTGTATGCTTATTCTGTATCCCTCAAAGTGCCTGACACAGATCTGGGCATATAAATATTAAATAAACTGTAATTGGTAGAATGAGTGATTATACTTAATTCATACATACAAGCATTTCTTTTGCTTGAAAGCCAAAGAAGTTGTTTTAAATATTCCTCTGTGATTTTGTGGTCTTTGGATTATTTTTCTGTTCTTTGATTTTACTAACATTATCTAATTATGGTAGCTCTACATTTCTATAAGTTCCTTGCTACCACTACCAATTTTTAAGTAGTAAAAAACCAAAAACCAAACTCATTGCCGTCGAGTGAATTCCAACTCATAGCGACCCTATAGGACAGAGTAGACTGCCTTATAGAGTTCCCAAGGAGCGCCTGGTGGACTCAAACTGCCATCCTTTCGGTTAGCAGTGGTAGCACTTAACCACTGCACCACCAGGGTTTCCTTAAGTAGTAAAGCATCTATTAAATCATTTTTACAGAATATATCTCCAGCTCAACCTATTTTTCTGTTCTTTTCATTCTCTTTTTTCTGGTAAAATGTAAAGAAAAGCATTTGTCTTGTTTGGAGGAGTGTTGCTTAGGCAGTATATTCAGTCAATAGCTTGAATTAGTGTTCCTCAGCATAAGTGGATTAGACTTCAGCAGTAGTCTCTGGACTATTCTCAGTTTCCAGAACCAGCTTTCTAAATTGTTTCCTTTCCCTGGCAAGTTGATATCTGTGTGTGGAGAGAGAGACAGAGGCAGAGAATACAAAGTTTTGGTACCTACTGTATTTATAAAGTTCTTCTAAAATAGAGGGACACTTTTTTTAAACTTGATATTAGCAATGTTGTTAAGTTTCCCTCAACCTACTGCCAATGGCTCCATAATTCTAGCTACCAATTTAAGAGGTATCCATTCTTTTACCTCCCAAAAAATGCTCCGGTATTATTGACCATTTTCTGAAAAATTGTGAAAGAGTTTTTAGAGCATTCTTTGCATGAACAGAGCCAGGTGGGATCAAGCTACCTTTAGCCTAAAACTGAAATCTGTTTTGATCTCCCTTCTGCTAACTAGCTGAGTCATTTTGGGGGAAGTCACTTGATGTATCAATACTTCATTGATCTCACCTGTAAAATGAGGCTGTTATCAGAATAGATGTTTTACATGAGTCCATTAAATCTAATATTACTATTCTTAAGGTTATATTTTTTTAATGAAAGTCTGAACAGTTTTTGCTGATGTGCCTAAAAGCACTATACTTTTAAAAAGTTTGCCACTTGCATCTTAATATGCAAAGATATATGTTCTGTCTTGTTTTTGTTTCCCCTCACTTCAAGTTCTACATGACAGTAAACCAGCCAATGTCCGTCCAAGTCAACTAGTCCATGCTTATGTCTCAACCCAAGGATTTATTATTCTTATAGGGTTGCTAGGAAAATTATATGCTATGCTTATAACTAGCTTATATATATATTTTTTTTCCACTTCTAAACTATTTATTGATTTTCCTAACATAGTATTCTGGTGGACTGAGAGTTTCTAATAAAATCAATTAAGCTAAATAGCCATTAGATTGAGAAGAGGTAGTAGACATTTACTCTTCTAATTGTCTAACCAGTGATGGATAGTCACAATTTTGCAGATTTCATTTCATTATTGCTTCAAAAAAATCTGCAAAAATAATCTAAGATAATTAGATAAATAGGAGTGTATTACAGTTATAAAACTATCACATTGGAAATATAAAATTTTACTGTTGCCTTCATCGAAAATTATTTACATGAACATTTGCCATAAGCCACTTACCTTTATTTTTATTCAAGGTGTTAAGTTTCCACAATTAGCAGTAAAACTTCTTGTTTCCTAACTCAAGCTTTTAAATATTCTCATCACCATCTAAAAATAAACCTCTTCTCTAGTGTGAATCATGGGTGATTTTAAGTTTGCATCATTATGAGAAATGAAAGAAAATAACCTAGCTCCAGAGAGATTCATGTGAGGATTTCAAGGAATAAACCACAAAGCAGCCTGATAGGCCACTACTGATTTACAGTTGCTCTAGCTCATGGTTCCCATTTCACTTTATGTCTCACTGGAGAATGTGTCTTTCTCCATCACTACCAAAAATTCTGGTCTTCAAATCGTTACTGGAGTTCAAGAGAGAACCCTGGTGAGTTTATGTAGCTTTAACTTAAAGGAACCAGATACAAGCAGTTCAAGGCAAACCGATGTTTTAAGACTTTTCTGTGTGTCTAAAAATTGGAACACTGGTGTCTGAACACTGCCTAGAGCGGTGTTAAAAACTATACATTTGTGACGTTAGTTTAGTTTGCTGTTATTTGCTCTTATGTTAACTGGATGGAGCCTGCCCTGTACAATTTCCAGGTTGCACAAACACAGTTATTTAACAAAATCATTTAAACATCTGTTAGATACTTCAGTTACCATTAATAATATTCTTTTATTATATAACTCATTATAAAACACGTTGTTATGCTTAACTTTTTTTTTTTTTAAAGAAGACAAACTAACCTCATGTTCTGGTGGAAAATATTAATTTTTCCGTGGAACATATTGGAAAACCTCAGAGTTCAAATTTAGAACTGCCTTTCCTTTCCAAAGTTTTATGATTCTGCTTGCTAGTTAAAAATGCAATATGTAATTGGGAGGCAATGATGAAGGAAATTATTTCTACTCTGTAATTTTTAATAGCCTTTTTTAAATGACTTATCTACATTATAGGAATGGAGAAGTAGCTTTTTCGTAACTGTACATCCAACTCTTGCTCTAGGTGAATCCCTTGAAATAAAGTAAGTGGTGCCTATGTTATACAGATCTGATGGTATAAAAATCTGGGCTCTGCTTTTTTTATAGCATTGCCTCCAGTTTGTGACTGTTTTGCTTTTTGTCTTAGAAGCACTGGGTTTTTTCCTACAATTTTTTCTCTGAAGCTATCATGACCATGACTGATTTTGTCATGGAATAGTAACTGTAACCATTTGTACATAGGGATAAATATGTTGTTTTCTAAGGAATGGTGACATCATGTCACTAGAGATTCAGTTAAGTGTTTGAAGCAAAATAGATCATTTTAAAATTACTTTTTACAACAATAATAATTTAAACAGCAACAACGACCTGTGTCAGAGATTGGAATGTAATAGTGGAAAACAAAAGAATAGTGTGAAACTGCTGACTACAGGTTTACATATAATTGGATAGTGTTTCTCTATGACCAGAGTCCCTGATGGAAAATGTGTTCCCCTCTGTGGTTTCACAAAGTGGTTATGGGCCCAATAGAACTTTTAGCCCAAGACCTAGGCTAGAAAATATTAATACAAAAACGCGATTCATGTATTAGGGATCAGGTGTTTTAGAGAGTCATACTTTGAGAGGGTATATTTGATTATATCACTTTACACTAAGAACTATATTAATTCCATGTCAATTCATGTCTTTGGTCACAGCACCAGCACAAAACAAGTTAATTATAATGCAACAAATGAGCTACACACTTAAAAAGAAGAAAAAGATACTAGTTATGCAGTTGGATATTTCAGTTTTCTCTAATCAAAGTACTTTCTCCAATAGATTTCTTATCAATAGCAAAGTCCATAGTTCACAGTTAAACTGTTGTACTTCTAACGTGCAGTTTTACTAAATAATTTTTCAATTTTATTTTGTTGTTGTTGTTGACAATATACACAGCACAACATAACACCAATTCAACAATTTCTACATGCACAGTTCAGTGACATTGATTACATTTTTCGAGTTATGACTAAATTTTTTTTAATTAAGGTGAATTAAAACTTTGACAGTTTCTTTTTTCTTTACCCATAGATTTCTTTAAACAAAATTCTAAAAATAATTTTTAAAAACTATTTATAACCATACTGTATTTCTTTGAAGATAAGATAATATTTTCTCAGTATCTTGTCAATTCTTTATGAGACATCAGACTTGCCAAAACATATTCTAAAAATTGGTTATTTCAAAAATGTATTATTGTACTTTGGAACACAAAATAGGTAACTTTGTCTTTGTCAATACATTTTCTCAACAGAGGATTACCACCTTAACTGTCACGGTAACTCCTGTTGCATGATTTCTGTGGTTTGTGACTTCCTGTTTGGTGTTGATGCATGCCAGTAATAATGGTACTAACGTAGCTGAAGTTTTTATCTGCTATTTAATTTTGTGTTTCTTGATATTAATAACCTTTAGTGACAGTTTGTCCCAGTTGAGTTGCTTTGTTTCCTTAGTGAAAAAGTTAAAAAAAAAAAAAAAAGTTATTGTTATTTTTCTTAAAAGTCCTCGGTCTTATCTTAATAATATTGCTTTGTCCTTTAGTGTTTGGGAAATCAAAGCCTTCTGGGGGGGATGTAGCTAGAAACATAGATAGTGTTTGTAGGCCAATTCATCCCAAGAAGATGAGTGTGGGACACAGCAACAATTTTACATTGTCTTACAGAATCAGTCTAAAAGCTTCTTATGTGCTATTTTGACCAAAATGGGTTGATACTTTAGCATATAAGTAAGTAGTTTTTATAGTTCTGTAACCTGTAAAATTTTCCCCCATTGCAAATCAATTTTGAGGGATATTTGATTCTGATAGAAACAAGAGAGGTATATAGTGTACTTATTATTTAAAACATGTATTTTAATACATATACCTGCTCCTTTAAAAACTTTTGTGTCTTTTCTTTATTTAGGGTCCTCCAGGACCTCCTGGACCTCAAGGACTACAAGGGCCAAAGGTTATTCTTTATTTCACTCGTTTCCGTTTACCATATACTCATGGTGCAGGGAATCTCATATTAAGTATGTAGATCTTTGAAAACAAACCTTAAAAGATGCTGGAGAAGCTGAGATCAGCAGTATCTCTTAAGAGAGTTAAGAAAAGAAATTGAGATCTGGGCTAAAGAAAAGAGGGATCGGAAGAAAGAAAAATTAGGAAATAAGGGAGAGAAAGAGGAATAGCCTTTAATTTAATAGAGGACATTGAGAAGAAAGAAGGATATTAAACAAGAGAAAAAACCAGTTTTACAAAAGTTATATGTGTAAAGAAACAATAAATGCAATGTATGAAAAAAGAAAATTACTTAAAGAGAAAAGAATTTAAGAAAACTTACTCTGACACTAGGAAAGATCCTTTCCTCCAATTCTTTTGTAATTAAAAACAAAACAAAACAAGGAAAGCTTTAGCATGATGCATTCACAAATAACAATTTAAGAATCATTTTTTAATATCTCTTTATTATGCATATTCAACCATTCTACCATTTGTATCCTCTCTATTGAAACATGCCAATTACAAACAGAAATCTAGAATTACTTGATTATATCTAGAATGCGTTGGTGGTGTTAGCTTTATCCTTCCAAACGAAAGCTTAGTTGCTCAACCATGTTTGATCAATTAACACGTGGCCAGTCACTCTAGATTTTCAGAATAATATTTGAGCTGCACGTGTTGAAATATGATTTTCATCATTAGATTTTTGTAGGAGATTGAAGTAGTTTCAAAATTCATCTTTTGTTTATGCTTTTTGAGACCGTTTATTTGCTAAGTCTCTTACACACACACATACACACACACACACACACACACACACACACACACACACACCCACCCCAACTTTTGCTTTCTTCTCTTTCTGAATATTTGAAAACAGAAATCTAGTACATAGTAAAAGTAATTTTTCTATTATATAAACGTTACCAAAAAACCAAACCCACTGCTTTCGAGTCGATTCCAACTCATAGTAACCCTCTAGGATAGAGTAGAGTTGGGTTTCCAAGGCTTTAAATCTTTATGGAAGCAGACTCCCACGAAGCGGCTGGTGGGTTCGAATCGCAGACCTTTCAGTTAGCAGCTGAGCACTTTCACCCCTGCACCACCAGTGCTCCTCGTATAAAAGATACATAGTAAAATATTAAATATTACTGAAACCCTTGCCTATGTAAGTTGTACTGGAGCATAAATCCTCATTTCAAACAGATTCCATGTATAGCATTAGTGTAAGTTTTGGGATATTTAACCCTCTATTTCTCCATCACATTCCGGTCCCTAAGAGATGTAACACAAAGAAAGCTCCAGTCATATACACAGTCTTTATACCTGGTGAGCAAGTTGGCCTGGATCCCTGTTCTTTAATATCTTGGTGAGTTGAACTATACAACCTAGGAGGAAATCTGAAGATTGCCTTTTCCTGTGAGTAGAGTCAACCAAGGTCTAAGTGCCTTGCTTTATCTTCCCTAGACCGTCTGGTCAGCTAGGTCTCCAGAGGCAAAACAGGCCCCAAAGCTGAACACATACTTCATTCTCTCAAAACTTCAAAAGCTTCTAGGACTTTTTCTTTACCCCAAAGGCCTACAGAAGCCCCAAAGGGCAAAAAGGACCACCTAGCCAAAAAAAAAACCTGTATCACTGAATCCTGCATCGTTATTGTTTTATAATCCGTTTATACAATAAATAATTTTTGAGTCTCTACTCTGTGATAAGAACTGTAGGAATGGTTTCAACAGGCACCTTGCAGCCTAGGGAGGGAGACAGGCAAATAAAGGCCCACTTATTAATAAATAGAGTAAATGCTTTGTTTAAGTGAGAGTGGTATGGACATTCATGGGGGTGCCCTTGTCAGTCTTGGTTGTAAAGGATGGCTTCAAGCTATAACTGAAAGACAGGAAGATGAGCCAGATGAAGTACTAGACAGGTGGTATGGGGAGAGGGGGTTAGTCAGATTCCCTTACCCCAGAACCCTGCCATCCTTCCCATTATACTATCCCCCAGCCCACCCCACATATTCCCATGTTGTTTTTATTAGATGCCGTTGAGTCAATTCTGCCTCATAGCGACCCTGCGTATAACAGAAGGAAACACTACCAGGCCCTGCGTCATTCTCACAATCATTGCTGTGTTTGAGCCCATTGTTGCAGCCACTGTGTCAGTCCATCTCGTTGAGGGTCTTCCTCTTTTTCGCTGACCCTTTACTTTGCCAAGCATGATGTTCTATTTCAGAGACTGATCTCTCCTGATAAGGTGTCCAAAGTACATGAGGCGAACTCTCACCATCCTTGCTTCTAAGGAGCATTGTGGCTATACTTCTTCCAAGACAGATTTGTTTATTCTTCCAGCAGTCCATGGTATATTCAGTTATCTTCCCCAACACCATAATTCAAAGGCATTAATTCTTCTTTGGTCTTCTTTATTCATTGTCCAGCTTCCCCATGCATATGAGGCAGTTGAAAATACCCTATGGTAGTCCTCAGAGTGACATTTCCCATACTGATCGTATAATTGAGATCTTGAGAGCAGAAAATAAATATGCCAGTTTTGAAGTCCTAAGAAGATGCATTCTTCTACGTCCACTTAAACTTTACCATTTATACACTTTCTCTGTCATTTAGCTGAATTAATCCTTTATGCAGTCGATAATCTCTCCTTGGGAAGATTGGGATAAATGGGGTGGGATGTGGCTGTGACCAAGAATCATGAAACTCAACCTGAATCAAGTATAGAACCCATTCTCCCCTCAGAACTCCCAGTCTCGGACTGAATGGGAGCTTATATTCAGTTAGCATTTCTCCCTCCTTTGTCAAACAATGATTGTTTGATTTCTTAAACACTGAATAACTCTGTATTAAAAAAAAAATTTTCTTTGAGGGGTGAAGGGTAGATAAATGAATCACTCATGAATTGTGTTTCTCTTTAAACTCTCATGGGTCTCATTTTCAAGGTAAAAGCTTAGCGAAGCAATCATTACCAAACCCAGAGTGCTGACAAGTATTTAGACTCTGAATAACATGAGGGCTTAGCCAGGTGCATCCAACCTCAGCAGACTTGTTTGTGGCAAAATGAACTTTGCTGCTACCACAAAGAACAGGAAGTCTGAAATAGGGAAAGACTTTTTTTTTTTCCTTTTTTTAATTTTATTTGCTTGAAACCACAAGATCATGCCTTCTTTAAACATTGGACAGCTCAAATTTCATGCTGTGGCCCATGGCTCTTAAAGTTTTTACCAGGGAAAGGAACTCTAGCCATTTCAACACTGTGGTTTATAACATCACCAAACAAGCTTCTCTTGCAAATACAGCCCCATGTCAGCTCCCTTGGAACTCCCGGAGACAGGCCACTCATACTGAGAAGAGCTGTTTTTTCACAGTTTCCGCAGGAATAGTTGTAACGGGATCTGGATAAATGCCACTCTGACATAAAATAATATCTAGCCTTTTAAATTTGTTTGTTCAGTACCTTTCAAATTGAAAGGTGACTGGACATTTGTTGTTTGAATAAATTTCTAACAGACTATTTAAATTTGTTTTTAATGGGAATGTTTTAAGTTTAAAAAAGAAACATAAATCTGTATATTTTCAGTGTGTCAAGGACTCTAATAAATCATAACATGAATTGTAAATTTTAGTTCATTCCTAGCGTAGTATAGGAAATTGAATTGATCCAGAAGTAATTTTATATGTATTAGGATATTATCTGATTTATTATATCCTTCAGCGAGGCTTTTCTTGGAAATAGCACATTCCTAATGATTATGAATCTGTTCAAACTGTGCCACTTAAAATATTGTTGTACATTCTTGAGAGTTTGCATTTTATTCTTTCTTAGGGTAATGTGTATTTTTTGCTTTTTTCTCATACTAGGAAATAAGAAAAATTGTACAGATTTTTTTAAGAAGAAGAACATTAAATGAGGCATATAGGTTGTTGCTATCGGTTATGGTCAGTCATCAAATAATCTCTATCAGTTTAGCTTTACCCTTGTTGTTTTGTTGTTTTTGTTTTATTTGTGTCTCACGCGGGAGAAAAAGTAAACACTGGATCTTGGTTACACATAAGTATTATTATACATGATTTTCAAGAAAATGTTACTTCACTGAGTTTAAAAAGACTAGACTTAATGGTTTGACTGAGACTGGAGGGATCCCAGAAGACATGGCCCCCGGACTCTCTGTTGGCCCAAAACTAAAACCATTCCCGAGGCCAACTCTTCAGACAAAGACTAGACTGGACTATGGGACATAAAATGATATTCGTGAGGAGTGTGCTTCTTAGTGCAACTAGATACATGAGACTAAATGGGCAGCTCCTGTCCAGAGGTGAGATGAGAAGGCAGAGAGGGTCAGGAGCTGGTTGAATGGACATACGAAATCCGGAGTGGAAAGGAGGAGTGTGCTGTCACAGTATAGGGAGAGCAAATAGGGTCACATAACTATGTTTAGATTTTTATATGAGAGACTAACTGGAATTGTAAACTTTCACTTAAAGCCCAACAATAAAAAAAAAAAAGTTATTTCACTGAGTTTAGACATGTGCTGTGATGTAATAGAGTATTCTTGGATTACTGTGCATTTGCCAAAGGGCAAATCACACTTCCAACCAGCATCGTTTTTTATTTAGTGTGATTTGCTACCAATGATAAATGAAGGCAAGCCAACCCTTTTTATCTTAACAGGGAGAGCCAGGATCTCCAGGAATCCCAGGAGCTGATGGAGAGCAGGTAATTTTCAAAGAAATATACTGACATTTAAGGCATCATTATTCATTTTATTATAGGTTTAGAGCCAAAAAGATATGAGTATTAATATGCTATCCTTTTTTTTTTTTTTACCATCTATTCTATAGACTACATTAACTCTAAGAAGCAGCTGTGTTAATATTAGACATTCGTTTTCTTCACAGAAAGACACAAGCTATATGATGCTTTAGTTTTGTTCTTAATACTCCTTATCAATCCGCCAATGGCTCCTCTGGTTTTTTAATAGCCTATAAGATCATTACCAATTTAGTAAGAATAACCTGATTTTTGTCAGTGAGTACAAATAATTCAAGATTAAAATCAGAGATCATAGTTTCCACAAAAGTAGATATTGCTTATATGTTGTAACTTTTTTCAGTGGCTTCCCAAATAAAAATTGCACCTAATTTTCTAGTTCCTTAGAAAAGACAAGCAAGCAGAGCACTTATAGCTTTGTGGAGTATGGCAGTATCTTAAAAGGTGTCTCCTAAAACAAAGGTCTGGAAACTTTTTTTTTATAAAGGGCCAGATAGTAAATGTTTTATGCTTTGCATGCCACATATGGTCTCTGCTGCATTTTTTTTAACACCCCTTTAAAAATATGAAAAACACTCAGGTCAATACAAACCAACCATGGGCTGGCCCATGGGCTGTAGTTTGCTGACCCCTGCCCTGAGAGAATCTGCCCAAGGGAAAGTGGACATGACTGAGAATTCAGAATCGAATCATATGGGTTAGTTTCAAGATCTTTGATATCTTATGACCTTCCATTATTTACCCCAAAAGTGGCTAAAATCAAGACAATCATAAGAAATCAAGAGGATTCTTGATAGGAATAATGAAGATTTTACTCCTCAGGAAAACATATTAATAAGAAAATTAAGTTTAGAAGAATTTTTTAAAAATATGAGTGGTATGTTGAAATTGTATGTCACATAAAATGAACATGTGATATTTTAAAAAGAAAAATACTTTAAATGATTTGCTATATCAATCTGAGATCACATGAGAATTTTTTAATTTGGCTTTCTTACTTCCCCCATGTTAGTCATTATAAATGACATACATAATGAAATATTCCATGGCCCCTAATATACAATAGCTGAGAGAGGGCAGGTATAGGATTTATAAGGTCTTCTGTCATTAAGTCCAATGGGTTGGCTGTCCCATTGCTCTTCATCATTAGATCCCTAAAACCAACCAGGTTCTGACTGATCCATAAGATCCATCAATCCATTCAGATACCCTCCCTCCTACCCACCCAATGGAGGATCTGAACTAAGTGCTGTGGAATAGATATAGGTAACAAGACACATTCCTGTCCTCCAGTAGTTCTTAATATAGGAAGGATGAACAGGTGTCTGCAGCCTGGGGGCCCTTACTGTGGTAACTCTGATCATCTTTGCTGAAGAATGGGTCATCTAGTCATATTACAGTAAGGTTCCTTGCATGAAGATGCTTACCAATATAATTAATTTCAATATTAGTCTCACAAAATTCAGATGAATTAACATTCAAAGTAAACATGTACGTTCTTCAGTGTAAATGGGAACGCTCTGGAAAGCTGAAGTATTTTTAGCATTAATTGAGCATTATGTGCAGTCAGTGATTTACCTGTCTGTAGACTGGACCAGTGAAAAGTGATAGTGATCAGAACTTCTGCCTGTATCTAAGGGGACAGGAGGACACGTTGGGTGGAGTCGGGAGAAATCTATGTGGACCTTTATTATAATTCTAGGTCCTAGTTCAAAATGTATGTTGTACTGTTGAGAATTAAATCCATTAAATTGTTTTCAGGCCTGGTGAGATAGAATTAGCTGCCAGGTAAAAATAAAGAATCAAGGAAAAATGATGGCATGAACCTAAGTTCATGTTTCTCATTTTTAATAGCTGACATAATAGAATTTAATCCCTTTCATTACAGAGGGAAACCATACTGATTCAATGTAGAATCGATGTAGAAGGTTGCTGTAAGAAATAACTGTACCGTAAAATGAGAATCATTACAGCATCAACCAGATGCTGTCAAGTTGACTCCAACTCACGGTGACTCCCTGTGCATCAGAGTGGAACTGTGCTCCACAGGATTTTAAATGACTGATTTTTCAGAAGTAGATCACCAGGACTTTCATCTGAGGTGCCTCTGGGTGGACTCAAACTTCCAGCCTTCCATTTAGCAACTGAGCACTTTAATCACTTACACCACCCAGGGACTCCCGTTTTAGCATAGGACCCACTTATTGGCAAAATTGATCTGAAATTCTGTTTTACCTATAAACCAAACCAAACCCCTTGCTGTCAAGTGGATTCTGACTCATAGCGACCCTATAGGTCAGAGAAGAATTGCCCCATAGGGTTTCCAAGGAGTGGCTGGTGGATTCGAACTGCTAACCTTTTGGTTAGCAGCCGTAGCTCTTAACCACTGTGCCACCAGGGCTCCAAAGGATATAGCTGTTAGGGGTCAGTATGCTTCTAACATGAAACTATATCATTTGTAGGGGTTCAAAGGCTCAAAGGGAGACATGGGGGACCCAGGTATGCCAGGTGAAAAAGGAGGAATTGGACTTCCTGGATTACCGGTATGTTTATACTTTGTATGATGTGTTCTTCTTAAGATGAATTAAATAATCAGAACACAGTCATATATTATTATTTGCTGTCTAATATAGTGGTTCATATAGTATTTTATTTTGAAATAGTTGCGGTATTCTTGATTATTTACTCCAACTGGGGCACTAGAAGAAATTATAAAGCATCTAAACCAAATAAATTGTAAAATAAACCTTCATGTTTTCCTGAATTATTTTTAGTAGAAGATAGTAAAATAAATACATTTAGCTTCTTTAACTTGGCAATGTAACTGATCATTATAAAATAAACCATAATCGAAAAAATAAAGTAAAAATTTTGAAATGAACTGCTCTGAAAAGTGTAGCCTTTGTATGATACTATGCAATGGTGTTTTAATGGTTTTTTTCTCTCTGATTCTTACCGAGAATTTGGAGGGAAAAATGTAGCACTGCCCTAGATATTTTTTTAAACAGGGAAGTATATAAATAAATGTCAATAAAATATAAAAGACTTATCTTTGCTGTTTAAAATGCACACCACCATAAAAAGTATAACACTTATATATTTAACACTAAGTAAGTTTAACCAGTTAAACCAAACACAGTTGTTACTTACATTATATTTCCACATATCACCCACAATCCTAGGGATTTGGGTAAACTTGCTATTGTAGGCTAAAATGCAAGGGAATAAATCCTTTTTTATATATCATGTGTATAATATTATAAAATTTTGCAACAGGATGTTGGGTTTGGGGAGAAAATTCAGTTGTTTCTTGCACTTTGGAAATGACTTTCACCAGCTTAACTCCGCTTAATGATTATTTGTAGGGTGCCAATGGAATGAAAGGAGAAAAAGGAGACTCCGGATTGCCAGGTCCTCAGGGTCCCTCCGTAAGTCCGGGTGGCTGAACTGAAAAACCCTGAAACAGGCCTATTATTGACGTAGCTCACCCTGTGCCAGATGACTTATCAACGACAGAAAGACCGCGGACCTCTTGGTTTGTCAAACTGTGGAAGAAGTATTTGTCGGCCTTGTACAATGAGAGACAAAGGGTCTCAGAAGCCTGGGTGGAAGCAGTTTTTCAGAGGGCTGTCTAATCCAGAGGAGAAAATCAGTGGTTTTCCCACAATGCTTGTGGGTAGAGCTCTGTCAGTATAGAACACACATCCTTTTTTTCTCCAGAGTTCTGTTTTTGCTTCGTGAAATATTTGAAGGTTTAATAATGGTTGTGGCATTATAGCATTTCTTGGTAATCGGTTGCTTCCTTGTAATGTATTTTTTATTTATTCAGGCTTTTGTAGAACAACTGTATTTTTTCAAGGTTTTTGGTGGTGGTGGTGTTGCTGTCCTTATGAAGGAATTTCTAAACCTAGAGAACAAAGTGCATCACTTCTTCCAGTATCCTTTTTCCTCTGCAGCTATTAATGGCCTTAGCAGAACCCCAGCACAGGAATCGAACTCAACTGTCTTATCTCAGTGAAGTAACCAAATCCATGTTTATTTTTTGGACATACAGATCATAGGCCCACCAGGCCCACCAGGTCCCCACGGCCCACCAGGCCCCATGGTAAGTTCCCCTTTTCATCCAAAATGGAATCATTTGTTTATGAGTATGCTACCAGGGAAAACATGAACACATCCCTCAAAACAGCCAGCTTGTGTTTTGAACTGTCCTCTGTGGAATGCATGGAAAATACGAGGTGTTCTGAAATACACTGACTTTACAGTGTTGTCTTTTACTCCATATGTTGGAAAGAGAGAGTAGTTTTGCGATAGGAGAGATGAGGAACGAGTTGGAGCTGGCAAGTTTTACTCTGACCTTACCCTGTGAGTACTGGCAAAGGTTTTAACCAATCACTTCTCTAGTTTTTTTTTTTGTTTTTTGTTTTTGTTTTTTTTTTAGTAGTAAAATAAGATGAATCATAGCCATCAAGTAATGTTTCTAACCAGCTTTGGAGTTTGAGGTCTTTTAATGAAATAATCCATACGAACATTTACAAAATAATTCTGTAAAAAGTGAAGCTTGCTTCCACAGAGGTCATAGGTTACCGGGTCCTTCCCTTTTCCCTTTTATAGCACCGTGGTTGCTCCATTGTTCCAGGGTCAGTGTTCACTGCATGTGTCCCCCAGTGACCTGTGAAGTCAAGTCACCCCGCCCTCACAGAACTGAGGTCCAGTGAGGAAGGTAGCCGTTACCTGTGCCGTTGGGTCGATTCAGACTCGTGATGACCCCATGTGTTACAGGGTAGAACTGTTCCCTCGGGTTTTCTTGACTATAATCTTTCCAGAAGCAGATCACCAGGCCTTTCTTCTGCAGTGCTGCTGGCTGGGTTTGAACCAGCAACCTTTCCATTAGTAGCCAAGTGCAAACTGTTTGCACCACCAGGGATTTTTTAGCAAGTGTTAATTCCCCAGATGTCTTAACTAATGACTGTTGTGATAAGGCTAGAGTGCTTCAGGGGCTTGTGACTGAATAATAATGCAAGGCGGACGGTCTATAAGGTCGCATTTGATGGCTCAGTAAACCAGATGGCTTCAGTCATACAGATTAAGTAAATTGTGATCACTCTTCTTCCTGCTGGGCTCTAAGAAAGAGCATCAGTAGAAGGCTTTAAGCCACAGAGCCTAGCTCCAGATCCAGTCACTATTTCTTAGTGCCATCTTTACTTCATAACACAAAACAATTACAATAGATTTTATTTTCTTAAATCGAAACAGCTTATTAAGAATTAAGCAAATAACCTACTTTTGGCTTTGTTATACTCCCTTCACTTAGGTTAAAAGGTTAATAGAAAATGTTTCGTCCTGTTCATATGGTAAAATTAATTAGTTTAACGGAATTTTAACCATTATTAAAACGAGATAAGAATAATTGATAAAGTGACTTCCATTTCCTGAAAATGTTTATCCACAAACTTATCTACAGGGAAAATATTATTCTCATATAGACATATGCAACGAATATCCATGCATTGTTTGATAAGGAACTTTTTTTCTGGTGTGGTATGTTTCAGTGATGAATATTAACACACTCCTTTTTCCAAATAATTTATTTAAATCACTTGAAAAGTTTAAAGCAATTCACAGTACATTTCAATTAATTTTGCTTGACTTGTTAATCTCTATATTTAAGTTTACATGAAATACATGGTTTTATATTCTCATCCATGCGTACATTATGACTTCGTTCCATTTATAAACAATTGTTACAAGAGCTTAAAGAATTCATCATTTGTAGAGATAAATGTATTCTGAATAATAATGCCTAGCCCCCCTGTATTAGAATCTTTTCCTTAATCCTAAATAAGGGTCCCAAATCTGAGTGTAATCTCCCCGCTGCCTTCCTCCTTTATATTTCTCAGTACTTTGGGTCTGGAGGAGTTGGTAATGGAAAAAGTCTCCCCTTCTCAGATACTTAAAGTCTGGAACTTCTCATTGGCAAGTTAATGACCTTTAAGTCCTACATCTATTCCATTTAAACTTACGAAGCATCTCATATATTCCACCCAGATAAAAAATGGAAATTAAGAAATAGGAGTAATGTGGGTTCAAAATCCTATTTTTTTCTTTCTTCCATATAAGCCCTCAGATCTCCTCCTCCCTGCTATATATACTTAGCAGTCAGAATTGCTGTTAATGAATTTCCTGATCACAGGAATCAGGGACCGATTATCCAACACGTAAAGTAAGCATGGTACTTATCTTGCTTACCAGATTATCTGTAGTGAACGATTTCATATTTTTTTACCACATCCAAGATTCTGCTTCAGGTATGGCTGGCATCTGCCTCTCTCCTGACCACACAGCACCTTCCTAAAGAAACAAAGCCTCTTTTCAAATGTACAGTCCCTAACAGGGACAGATGACCCAGTCAGCAAGGTAAACACGGGCTTGCTTATGCTTACTTCCTAATCTGTAGGGAACAATTTCACATGTTTTTCACCACATCAGAAATTTAAATTTACATCAAAGATGTGGTGAAACCCTTGTGAAATTGTTCCCTACAGATGAGGAAGTGAGCACAAGTAAGCCTGTGCTTACCTTACTTGTTGGGTAATCCGCCCCTGATGGAAATCCAAGAGCTGCAAGGAAATTTCAGTAGGTCATAAAGTCTGCTCTGCTTGCCTCTAGCTATAGCTCAAACAAGAAGACTCTTGTTTCATATCTCTTTTGTTGTTTTATATAATATTCATTTCTTCTGGGAAACAGTAAATCAACTCTTAAGTAAAAGCTGTGTTTTCCACTTTTAGGGACCCCATGGACTTCCTGGACCAAAGGTAATCCAGCAAATCCCTTGATTATTTGATTTCTGTTTCCTTGTTAATAATCATGGAGAAGCATGACTGAAGCATGTCTGTCCCGTCTTATTTCTTTGTCAAGTAATGTTATTAATCTTTAAGCCTTTAAGCATCCAGATATTTAAATCTCACAACACAAAATGATTCACAAAGAAATTTGAATGATGTCACCTGGAGAAAAATTATTTCTTATTTTGCCTTTTTCCTTGACACTATGTAAATTTCTTAAATTATTAATCATAATATACTCAAAATCAACTATATAGACGTGAGTCTGATTAGGTTATCAGACTATCAGTCCAGATGTTCTTTTTAGTTATGGTCTCTTTAGTTGCATATTTGGATATTATTAATTGATACTTCTTGCTTGCCATGTACTGCTGCATTTAAATGCTTTGACTATCCAGCATTTTAATGTTGTGCTCCCTCAGAGGTCACTGATCTAGAATGGGGTAGGGTATATCAGGTGTGCTATGCTGGGGAAGAGCACATCATAGACATATATTGTACTCTATACACTGCATTAACAAGAGAATAGAGAATAGCCTGTCCTTATCAGAACTAGGGCAGCTGGCATTGTGAAGATAGTCTCAGCCTGTTCTTGGGCTTTGTGTAGACTGAGAGATATTAAAATGAGGATTAAAACGAGCCCTGAAAGACAAGCTGCTTCTTCCTGGGAGCTTATGTGGTGAGATTCTAATCTCAGCTTTGCCACTGACAGGCTGTGTCACTTGGGCAGATTACTTACCCTCTCTGAACCTCTGTTTACTCAACTGGGTAACTTACCTCATAGTGTTATTGTGATAATTTAATGAGGTATGATTATAAAACACAGCAAAATATCTGATGCAGTTATTGCTAAACACCCAATAAATGGCAATTGTTACCGTTATCTTGTGATTTGATGCTTTGTTTTGAACAAAAATTTGAGGGTTAGCCTCAAGGCTCATTGTGAGAAGATTCAGGAGCCCCTGAGAACCCCCTGGTAGTGAGTTGGTACATTTAAAAGGGAGGAGGGGGGACATATAAATGCAATGTTGGCACTAGGCATCAGAAAGCCCAGTCTATCCTCTCTTCTGGCTCCCCTCTGGTGTACCTAGCTGTCGGAGTGGCAGCAGGTATTGGTCTGACTCAGGAACCCTGAGTTTCCTTCTCTAGGTCAGGCAGGTGCTCACCCAGAAATTACTATTAATGAATTCTTTAGCACAGAGGAATCCAAGAGCTGGCAGGAACTTTCCGTAGGTCATAAAGTCCACACTCCTCCCTCTAGCTATAGCTCAAACATGTCCCTTTATTCTTCTTAGAATGTGGTAATGCCAGAAGCATTGATTAGAGTTTGGGGAATCAGTACTGTTCCGGGTGTCAGAGGAGAGAAAGTCACCTATCAACTTTGTGACCTTGGTAGTTATCTAACCCTCTGCCCACTCTTGGGTTCTCTTTGGATTGTAAGGCACCACCTCAGACTAGCCTAATCATAATGACTGAGGTTAAAGCCCCAAGACTGTGTGTTTTAAATTCCATAAGTGATTCTGACACACCACCCCCATGGGTTTAGGAGATGCCCAAGCTCCTCTGGATATCTAAAATGCTATGATTTATTTTGTCCACTCTTAATTTCAATTGTTACTTAAGTCAGATTTAAGAAGATGATAACGCTAAGACTTCATGGATTACCTATGCTAGTCCTTTGACATTATAAATGATAAACTGTAGGCCCAGGAAGGTTAGATTAATTGCCCTAAGTTACACTGCTAGTTAACAATAGCTCCGGGACTAGAATTTAGGTCCAGACCTGAAGTTAGGTCTTTCTGGCACTGGATTTGATTGTTTATAAACTCACCCTCTCAATTAATGACCCCTCACTGAAAAGTTTCATGACCTTCCAAGGCTGCCCTGACTAGTCATCATTTCAAGGCCACTTGCTGAAATTCCATGCACATGCAAAGCCCATCAATCTCAAGTTTAGACCAATGAATTAAAGTTGATTATTGAGCTTTGGCCATGGAGCCCTGGTGGTGTAGTGGTTAAGAGCTTGGCTGCCAACCAAAAGATTGCCAGCTCAAATCTACCAGCCGCTCCTTGGAAACCTCATGGGGCAGCTCTACCCTACCCTATGAGTTGGAATTGACTTGATGGCAGTGGGTTGTTGTTTTGTTTTTTTTTTTATATTGAGCTTTGGCCATAGTCTCACACTGACTCTGACTCAGTGGCATTCCCGGTATCCTACCTTACCTATCAAAGCTCATTTGGATTTCCTATAGTAGTAGCGCTGCAAATATAGCTTCAAAATCCAGAAAATCCACTGGATCATGCCAGTGTGTTCATTACTTTGTGACTCCTTTGAAAGTTCAAATGTTTATGAATATCCAAATAGTCAAAAGTTCCATGGATAAATGTAGTTCAGTGTTTCCCAAAATTTCCTGATGAGAAGAATCACCTGGAAGACTTTTCTTAAATACCCATTCCTGTGCTACCATGGTCTGGGCAGGGCTCTGGACTCTTATGTTTAACAAGTGCCACACTGATTTTCATCATCAGGCAAATTGGAGATATACTGCCCCATTTAATGCCTTCTGCCATGTGAGCATAATCTTCCCATCCCACCCCACCAAGACACTATAGGGCATCTGACTCCAGGAGTACCTTCCTTTCACAAGTCTTTCAAGATCTTCTTGACAAAATTAATGTCTGTACTTAAAGGATGGTAAGTGTACAGGTCAGAACTCTCTTTAGCTCTAAGAGGCTGCTACTGGTGAAAAATAGGTGTACTGTATTGCTACATTTTTAACAACAGTCAAGAGACTCTATCAGTTACCATGGTTTTTGTAATGTCACCTTGAGTTAAATTCATACCTCCTTTTCTCTAACACTGGGCAGACAGTAAAACTACTTTTAAGTTCTTTGATCTTCATATTCTCTTCTGGGATTGGCAGTTGGTTGTCTACTGTATTGATTAATCCATGTAGGGACTTGCCTTGGCAATGTTAGTGAATGATGACTTGGTAAATGGCATTACTTCAAACATCAGCTCCTACATGCTCAGCTCATTCCCCTGGGCAAAATGCTTAAAGGCTTAAAATATCTGTATATAACACTGTCCTGCATATTCCAGTTTTCCATTCCAGCAGAGTGGGTTTTTCCTACTGAACCTTCCTCAGCACCCTCCACTCTGAGTGTCTTTGATTTACTTGGTCACAACACTGTAGTATAAAACCAATATCCTTTAGATATAATTCAAAAATTCAGGAACTCGGTCATATATATCTAACACATTTTCTCGGGAGTTTTGCTTCCCAAAATGTTATTTAACTGTCCATCTCAGTTTATAATTAAAAAAAAAATCAAACTTGAATTAATTTCTTGAACCGATGCAAGATGACTCTAGCGTGGCTTTGCTGTTACCTAAAACTGGAATCTGCAACCATTTCAGAGACTGGCTCTCTTCTCTCCCAGTTTAAAGACCCATGATAGCAACCAAAATCGGCATTTGCTTTTGCATTTAGGGTGAACCAGGGTTAAATGGTGTTAAAGGATTGAAGGGTGAACCAGGTCAAAAGGGTGACAGAGGACCCCTTGGTCTTCCAGTAAGTAAAGAAAACTTTCCATTTCAGTGCAAATCTCAGATTTTTCCTTCTACCTAAAGTAACAACTCTGGTTTACTCCATAGCTATCTTACTGTTGAGATTTCTGTAAGTGGAAAACATGTTATGTTAGAGCAGAGCTCAATCCAGTTTTGTTTTCTCTGGTGTCTGCTCTTGTGTCAGGAAGAAGATCCCATAACAAGCAATGCTATACATGTTCTGTCATTCTTCAATTACATACATGCCAACCTTCCTCTTCTAGGGCTGAAAATTTTTCTCCCATCTCCCTCCCCTTTAAAAAGTATTGTGCTCATTATTTCATAATTTCTCCCAAATGCTTTCATAATTTAGTATAGTTTAAAATCCTCTTTCAATTGCTTTTCCTTCTTCAGTACCCAAAACTGTAGCCCTCTGTTGGTGGCAAGTATGCAGTTGGTCATCATTAATGGCGTGGGGTCAACTGGTCCCCGACACTGATCAGTCATATTGTGTTCTAAATGTTTTATGTTGTTTGTTTTGGAAATGCCCCGTCATGAGATTCTTGGGGCAGTAGTGGCTAGAATAGAAGAAATATTTTGCAGTTGTTTAGAAATTTTTAGTTTTAATGAAAAAGGGATTTCCCCTTCCTGCTTTTTCAGCCAGCCTTCTTTCCACAACAACTAAAAAGGGATTTTAAAAAATGATTATTGAATGTAAGACTTTAGTTTCAAGATTTTACTTTGCTGTCTATTCAATAAATGAAGATAAAAGTCAACGAAGAATGTTATACATTACATTATTAAAATATTACAGAAAATCACTAATAGAATATCATTTATACACATATTTGAAGTGAAGGAAAAAAAAAATTGGTGACCACTTACTTCATTTCCCCATGGGTACTATAAGGTATTAAGGTATTTCATTTGATATCCAGTCCTTTACCCAGATCAGTTACATAGTAGATGCTCAATATTCATTCATTTACTGAAAGAGTAAATAAACAAATGGATGCTATAAGCCTTGTATTAGAGAACAGGTCAGATAATACCAATACAATCAATGGACCACAGGCATAAAATCTCTATAACATATGTGAGTCATTTATTCAGTATTCCGGGTGGATATAATATTATCAGTGAAAGATTTTCCCCATTTCCCCATTCAATTTCAGATGTTCGATTCTCGGTGAGTCTAAAGAGAGTAAGAAAAGGAAAAAGAAAGATTACATTTTCTATTTTATTTAAACTTTCAATCTGATTTCTTTCAAGTTTGCCTTAATTTCTAATTTTGGACCAGTGCCAATTTTTATGCACCCTTTAGCCAAAAGTTCATCTATGTAGCATTAAATAAGCAACAGCAGCAACATAAATGTTTTTTTTATTTTAATCATTGCTAACTGAAAATGTATTTATGCAGTTATAGTATGGATCATAATAGCATTCTACAAAAGGAATTTTAAAATAAAAAACTAAAAATATCCCAAATATATAGGGTATAGCATCATTGGTAAAGCTCACAGCTGGAATAGATTTTTTTTTTTCACTTTGTATTATTAACTGCATCTGAAGTATAAAATGGAGACATAGCTCTGCAATCCTGCCAAGAGCATTTATAGGGCCAATGTGTTGTCTTTTTGAAATCACTCGATTTAATCTGTATTTTTAAAGAACTATAAATAAATATTTGAACTTTGAGATACAAAAGCTATATCAAAGAGGTAATTGTGCTGCTTCTTGAAACAAGCATTGGAAATCTGCCATTTTTTTAATTCTGCCCCATTGATGTATAGTGTAGAGCTCAAGATAAAGAAAAACATCGTACATTGCCTGAGAACCCAGCTAGATTTTTAAAACATTTCTCATTCAGTCTTTGATGCAAGGATTATTTAAAGTGAAATGAGGAATAATTTAGTTTGGGACAGTTAAATTTTTTGTCTGATCTCAGGACTCC